GAAGTGATCAGGCAGGAGGAAAAAAAGATAACTGTTTCATTTCTGTTTACAGAAGTATGATCTACTAAACTTATGAATTTTAGATAGCCGAAGTTAGAAGAGAAAGCAGTTCTCTGTATCCAGAAAATAGAACACTGAAGCATCAGCAATAGTCCAGACAAAAGCCATAATCATCCAGAATCAGTTCATTCAGCCCTACGTAATTCTTGTTCTGCTTGATCTTGGGTTAGCCGTCCCATAAACTTAGTAGCTTCTCCATTAGAGTCCTGGGACTCCTGACTCAGTCCAGTGTCATGGTTTCAAAGTTATTTAAGCAATTGATGGAATTCCATTGGGAATTCTGTGCCTCAAGAGTACTTGGTATGATCCTTTCTGTGATACTCCAAGAGAGTACTATTTTGTTGAAGATAATTACTCTGGCCTGTAACTGATTGCAAGAGCTTTCAGGGAAACATCAAAGTAAGACAACTGTGGATGACAAAAGACTTAAAGTGGCTATGGTAAAAGATGTGTTGCAAGTTCATTATAAAAATGGTGCAGATGACAGGGACATTTGGTTGTTTTTGTGGCGTATACCATTTAAAAATAATAACTGGAATTACACTTGATGGCATTATGCTGATGCTGTCTAATTATCAGGCAACGAAACACCAGGATATGTCATGGATAGCAAAGGAATTGACTTTTCTAGGAACTTAATACAATTTCTGAAACATTTTACCCATAAAAATATAAAATAGAGAAGGTTAAGCATCTCTTACTTGACAATGCTTCCTGTGCAACTCATCATATCAAAGAAACCTAATTATTGTAATATCTCTCATTTATGAGGTGAAAGAACAAACTGTGATTTTCCAGGGGCCCTCTGGGAAATATCAAAGTCAGTCTGAAATCAAGAAGATTTCATTTTGGAAAGACAAAATATCACAAGTTGTTAAAAATGTCAAAAGATTTGTACACTTGGCTAAATAGAACCGTGGGTCACTAAGAAACTATTTGACTCCCTATTTAAGCAAACAACTAATAAAAGATTTCACTAATAAAAGATTTCAGAAGTAAATATTAGAGGTAATGTGATTGAAATGAACCTTATCTCTTAGAATTGAGAAGACTCGGTTCTTTTACAAATAAAGGATGATAAATGATAGGTCAGTAAGCACAGGAAACTGTTTTGATAAGACACAATCTGTACCTTCTAGGGAGATTATTTAGAAAGTAAGGGAAAACCTTTTACAATCCTTACTAAGAGTTAACCTAAGAAAATTTTGTCTTAGCAACTTTCAAATATATAATACAGTATTATTAACTATAGTCACCATGCTGTACATTACATCCCCATGATTTATTTATTTTATAACTGGAAGTCTGTTCTGTTTGACCACCTTCACCCATATCACCTACCTCCCACCCCTGCCTCAGGCAACCACCAATCTGTTCTCCATATCTTTGAGTTTGAGGGGGTTGGTATTTGTTTTATTTTTTTAGATTCCATATAAAAATGAGATAATACAGCAAAAGAAAGAAGATTTCCTTCTTTTTATAGCTCAATAATATTCCATTGTGTGTGGATGCCATTCTTTATTTATTCATATATCAAAATTCAAAGTTAATATAATGTTAATGTTCTTATAATCAGGAACATGTCCACATAGATACTTGCACATAGAGTGCTTATTATCAACCAGAAGGCTCAAACATTCACAAAAGAAAATATATTTGCACACCCTTACACTCACACTTCACTCACACAAATATAGTCACATGTCAACTAGCTCACAGCAGTGAACCTGATATACATTCACTCATTTATATGAACATGCTAACATCTATGCATATGTCTGCACATTCAGGTATAAACTTGAGCATGTATCATTCACTTATTCACAAAACATGCTCAACATTGACTCACCCAAGCATTCCTACAGATTCACTCACATTCAAAGATACAGATACACACCTGCACCCTCTGGTATATTCACACCTTCACAAAAGCATGGTAAAACATTCACTGAGTCAAATGACCATATCCAAATGCACTCAGACGGGCACAAATACACACTCAAGATAATCCCACTGACATTAACTTCCATATGCCCGTTAACCTATTAAAAATCATGAACGTGATCCCATAAACACATCTCAACTGGCTTACATCCACCATGAAGTTCAAACATTCACTAACACAAGGAAATCCTATCACAGTATTCACACACTCACATCTCACTCTCAAATAAACTCATGTTAACTAGCTTACAGCAGTGAAGCCCCCCTACGCTGTCACTCATTCCCATGAACATGCTGATATCCATGCATGTGATCACAAAGTCAGGCATACACTTGAATGCACACATTTATGTTATCACTCTCATATCCTCATACTAACACACTTTCAGATGTAGAGGTTCAAACATTCATTCTAAAGAATGTACATGTTCACATATATGTACATGCTCACACAATCACGCCCTCACATAATCATTCTTAGAAATCCCTGAAGTGCATATACTGACGAATTGACTCACACACATAGACATACATTCATACTCATGCTTATATATTCACTCACTCACATGAGCATTGTCACACATTCACTCACACATGAAATGATCATAAACACACGCTGGACATACTCCATTTTGTATGCACACAGTCACACATTCACTTATGCAATTTACTCTTGTCACAAAAATATGCTTACACATTTACTTGCATTCCAACATACTCACACCCTCTTAGACTCTGAAAAATTCACTCTAACACATAAACACATTTACATTCGCTCACACATTAACTTAGAAACATACACCCAGCCATTAACAAGCTCACACCATAGACATGCATATTCGGTATATGAACATTCTAATATATATGGACACGCTAAAATATTGACTCATAAAGATGAACACACCCAAATACCCACAAATTTGCACACAGTAAAACACTCATCCTTGAATAGGCTGACACAGATTCTCTCCTTCACATACTCACATAACTACACATGGTATCATATTCACTCAAAATATGCTCTCACCTGTTGAATAACTCACCGAGAAATACTCACATACATAGATATACTCAGATACACTCACATACTGACACAGTCTCCTTCACATGAACATGCCCAAGTATTCACTGAATCATGTAAGCATGTACAAATTCTCATGGTGACACAGATAAATACACTTAGATGCTCCTGTCACTCATTCAGTTCGACATGCACACTTACACACAATCAGGACATGTTCAAGTGCATACTTGCACACATATGCTCACACTCATCATGAAGCTGAAAATTTCGATCTAAAGTAGATGTGCTCACATGTACTTAAATTCAGATGCTCACATATTGCTCACACAAATAGTCACACATTAACAAGCTTATAAAAACAAATCCAGTAAACCTTCACTCACACAAACATGCTAACTTCCATGCACATGTTCACAAATTCACTTGGACACATGAATACACAGAAAACAATGACTTCAACACTGAAGTATTGGCGCACAAACACACTCAAAGACATGTACAAGTTCACATATTCACCTCCCACAGATGTACACACTGCCATACGTACACATGCTCACACATTCACTGATTCACCTTAACCCACTTAAAATTCAATTCACTCATTCAAATTAACAGTGACAAATTACACATATAGACATACTCGCATGAATTCATATCTGCATACTCATAGTCATTCACACAAATATGCTCACACCTTCACTCGTTCACGTAAACGTGATCATACATACACTCACATGAATGTGCTCACATTCATCAACAGAAATACACACCACACTGATCCATTCACTCTTTCATAAAAATATGCTCAAATGTATACTTAATCACATGAGCACACTCAAGTTCACCTCCACAAACAAACAAATACATATACTTAGATATTTTCATTCATACATTCACGTTATAATGCTCACAAACATGGACATGTTCTCAGAAGTACTACACAAAGATGCTCATAATCACCAAAAAGTTCAAAAATTCACTTGTACAGGATACACCCAAATACTCCCACACTCTGAGCACTCAGTACACTCACACATGAATATGCTTACCTCTGTGTGTGCTCCTATAGTCATGCATACAGATGAACACATAAAACATGTACTTTGACATTCTAATATTGTCACACTGACGCTCTCAAATACATAAGTTCCTATATTCATTTTCACAAATGAAACATGCTTACCACATGCTCCCACATTCACTCATTCACATGAATACACAACATTCACTCACTCAAACATTCTGTTGAGTTTAATCACACAGATGTACTCATACTCATTCACAGTTACATGCTCACATGTTCACTCTTGGAAACCAGTAGGCTCACGCCTTAATGTACTCACATGAGCTGATGCCACATTCATTCCCTGGCGTGAACATTCTCACACACATACGCCAAAACAGACACGTCAGATATGCCTATAAATTTACTACATGACACAAACGTGCTCACTTACCCAATCACATGAGCACACTCACTGTTTCATGCAGAGACACACTCAGATGTTTCCGCTCTCACTGTCACTGTGTTAACTTCAATGAGTAAACTGAATTTTAAGTGCTCACTTAGACACACACATTTTATTCACAGACAGGAACACACTCACCTATTCATTTATGCACAAACACACTCATATTTACCAAGAAGCTTAAACATTAACTCACACAGGATACACTCACGTGCCCACATTTCCCTCACACAAATATAAGCACACATGTGACATCTCACACAAATATACATTCACTCAAATGAACATGCTAACATCCATGCACACGGCTACACATCTAGGCATACTCTAACACTCACAAATATTTATTTCAATACTCAAATATTGTCGCTATAATACACTCAGACATGTACAAGTTCACATAATCACCCTTACAGATGTACATGCTTGTATATATACACACACAATTGTCGACTGAAATAAATGCACAGCCTAAAAGTTGAGAGTTATCTTTTATTTGGCAGACATTTCTGAGGACTTGAGCCCCTTTGCCCGAAATGACAGTCTCCCAGATCGCTTTGAGGGGATGCTCTGAAGAGGTAGGGGAAGAGCCAGGATATATATGAGTTTTACAACAAAGACCAGGTAGTCAGAACATTAAATGGTTACTTGTTAACTGAAGAAAATCAGACATCTCAAGTTAAAGAATTAGTGCTTTTCTGTGTATGGGAGGGAGCAAACATTTGGGCTCATTGAATTCATTTCTTTGACAAGCACCTAGCTATCCAGGGCCAGTATCCTGTCCTTTCTTATTCTGAGTCCCCTCAGGGGGCACCAATGTGAGTGGCTGCAGAGGCCGGGCTGCAGGCTTGTCTTCCCTGGGGGATGGCGGTAGCTGCTGATGACTTGATGGCTTCAGCATTCTTTGTTTACTGATATGGTTTGCACTATTTTTCTTTGGCACAATCATGCATTCACTCACAAAAACGCACAGATACCTTCACTCACATGAGCTTTATTGCACAGTCACTTAACATAATTGCAAGTTTGTTCACAGGACTGACAAATTCATTGCATTTATATGCACACATGTACTTTCACTTACACATGCAAATTATACTCACAAACAGGATCGTGCTGAATTATTCATACATGCACAAACATCCTCACACCCACAGAGAAGTTCACCGTTTATTCACACATAAAAACACCCACATTTACTCATACACATGCTCACACTTTCACACAAGTATATTCACACTTTCACAAGATCACACAAAATGAGCACACATACTCATACTCCTACATGCTAATATATATCCACATGCTCAGAAATTAACTCATACAGATGAGCACACACAAAAATTCACTTAAATGCACAAATATGTTTGTAATAAAATATTGTCACCCAAGCATAGGACAACATATTCATTCTCACACACAGACATGCTCACATACATGCACATATTTACTCATTAACCCCCTCTCATGTACATGGTCATTGATTTACCAACGGTCACAGGCATCCACATGTACTCACACATTTTACAGTCACACATATATATGCTAACATTCTCACACACATGAAAATACCATTCACTCAAACATGCTCACCTACAGTTGTTCATACATTCACTCACGTGTATTGACACTGACACATTCATTCATAGCTAAGAAGGCTTTAACTTCCTGCACACACCAGTAACCTCACATATAATTACTTGGGCACACTGACATATCAAGTCAGTCACATAATCAACATGCTCTTAGCTAAAATATGCTCACTGATTACTGCACATACTGCTGAAAAGCAAATATATTCATCAGGTTTCACAAAAAAGAAGAAAAATACGTAAATGTTCACATTCACTGAGTCACACAGCACACATTTGTTCACACACATAAATGCATTCACAAATTTTCTCACAGACACTCACATGCTACCACATTCGTTCACACAAATATGCCTACATATTCACAGTCTTAGAAAAAGTGTAATGCACATTCACTAACACACATAAACCTACTGATACCATGTGTGCTCACAAATATGTGCACACATATGAACACACAATGTTTACATAAGCAGTCCAACACAAGAACACCCTTCAGACACATGTAAGTACACATACTTGCTCTTATGAAAATATGTGCTCACATGCATCCACATTCACTTACATTATCACACTTAAAATTCACACAAACATACTTACAAATTTACTCATGTATAGACACACCCACCTGGTCCCACATTCATTCACTCACAGAAACATGCTCACTCCTTCACTCAGAATACTATGATCACACATCCCCTCACTCTTGTGAACAGTCTCACAAAGTTAATCACATTAGTGGAAACATACTTTCATATGTACACACTCACACACTCCACACAAACATGCTCAAACACTGACTCAATCTCATGAGTATGTTCACAAATTCTCTCACACAGGGACACAAATACATACATTCAGATGCTCCCTCTTACTTTTTTACTTTTTTACTACACACACATTAATAAGCTTACAACAGGAATATGCTCATATACATACTCATACACAAACATGCTCACACTCACTGAGAAGCTTACGTGTTCACTCACACATGTAAATGTACTCACAGTCACACAAATGTACTTTTCTCCTAGGCAAATATACTTACACATTGAGATCACACAATGGTATACACACACATTCTCCTCTCTACATGCTCATGTACATACACATGCTCACACATTCCCTCACTTATAAAACACATTCCCTCACACAGTTATGCTTGCAGGGTTAATCACATACATAGGTATATATGCATTCAGCGTGTACACATTGACCCTTTACTACGTTGTATGAACATGCTCAAGCATTTCCTCAGGCACATGAGTGTGCTCACACATTGACACACACAGACAGAATCATCCACACTCAGATGCTCACAGTCACACATTCATTGATGCATAATACATCAACATGCTCCTAACAGGAACTTGCTCACGTGTCCATTCACACACAGACCTACTTACAAATTCACTCACACACAGAGACACCATCACACATAATCATGTACACATATCTGTTCATACTCACATTAGTATGCAGACGTATGCAGACCTGCTCACTATATACTGACATACATGCTAACACACATTCTCAAGAATTCACTCAAAGCCATAACATACATGTAAACACACATTCCATGACTCCCATTAAATTGTTCACATTATCACACATCTACATGAATATGATCTGAAGTTTACTCACACATATACACATATACTCACACCCACATGCTCATACAGTCACTCACCACGATGCTCATACGTCAGTCACTCATACAAACTTGCTCACATACTCACACGAACATACAAATTCAACTCACACATATTATCACATTTACTTACACTCACACTCTTACCATCATTCACATGGACATGCATACAAATCCACATACACAGACACAGATTCTCATATGAATACACTCACACATTCCCTCACATACATATTAATTCACTCACAGAGACATTAGCACACATTCAGTGACGAATGAACATGCTCACATTCACCATAAAAGTCCCACATTCACTCACATAAATCCATTCACATGCTCACATATTCACTCTTACAAATATGCTTATACATTAACAGATGCAATAAGTAAACATGCTTATACATTCACCCACACAGAAACATACTGACATCTGCACATGCTCACAACTTCAGTCATACACATAAAAATGCACCTTTACTGCAGCGCAAACTCACACTGATACATTTTCACATGTGAAAGGGCGCATGTTTTCAGTCTCACACAGATAAACATTCTCACACCTTCACTCACTCACATGAATGTGCTCACAGACATACTCACACTCACATTAACATATATATACACACATTCACATGAATACACTCAAACTAATCTGCTCACATACATGAAAGTGCTCAAATATTCACTCAGACTCTTTATGCTCACATAAACAGTCATTCACGCATTCACACACATCAGTACTGAGACAGACGTTTATTCACCTGCGTGAGCATATGCAGCATTAACTTGCTCACACACGCATTCATTCACACACACACATATGCTTATAAATTCACTCACACACCAAGATTGCCCCACATGCCATCATTTACCCACACTCATCCAGTCAGTCACCCTTACACATTAACATGCTCACATATGTGACATGCTCATTATTTACTAATACACATATACATGCTCACACTTGAACATGCTCACAGATTCACCAATCATTTTAAAAGATTATTTATGTCTGCAGTAAAACCCCTCTGGGATATGTATAGGAATTACATTAACCTACATATCTAAAACACATACACTGCCAGATATGGGTTGATTCAGGATCAGCAGAGAATTGCAATTTGATATTTGCCATCAAGGGGAGTCACATGTAAATCTCTGCACAGCAAGGGGAGGAGAATGCTTTTATAGGGAGGAAAAGGAAGTTGGGAGGGCTAGGGCTATAGTAAATAAAAAATCCATGGCTTTTCATTGGCTGATTCCTTCATGAGCCTGATTGTATATCTCTTCATTTTTTAAAGTCTTCTTTAATTTCTTCCATAAGAATATTGTAATTTTCAGGGGGGAGGGTATAGCTCAAGTGGTAGAGTGCATGCATGCTTGGCATGCACGAGCTCCTGGGTTCAATCCCCAGTGCTGCCTCTAAAAATAAATAAATAAACCTAATTACCTCCCCCCACTAAAAGAATATTCTAATTTTCAAGCATGCAAATTGCTACATGTTTTCTTAAATTTTTACGTAGGTGTTGTATAACGAAGTATTTACCAGGTGTTTGTGCCAGATTCTTGGCCTAAAGCTTGTGAAATCCTTGGAATTTCCTAATTGATAAGTGTCTTTGTTATTCATGAGTCCCTTATATCACAAGTTGATTAAGGATGGTAACTGATTGATAGAAAGACCAATTCTGTGATTAGACGGTTGGAGCTTTGAATCATTCTGACCTCTAGGTAAGGGAGGGGCCTGGTAATTTGAATTTAATCACATGGCCAGTGATTCAACCAGTCATGCTTACATAACGAAACCCCAGTAAAACTTTGGACACTGAAGCTCAGAAGAGCTTCCTGATTGATGAACACCTTGATTTGCTGGGATGGTGACACACTCTGTTTCCATAAGGAGAGAGGAGAGCTCTGCATAACCTCCCTGACTTTGCTGTGTGCATCTCCTCATTTGGCTGGTCCTCCTGATTCGTATCCTTTATAATAAAATTGCAGTAATAAGTATGGTACATTCCTGAGTTTTGTGAGCCATTCTGGTAAATTATCAAACCTGAGGTGGTCCTAAGAATTCCTGAATTTGTAGCCAGTCAGAAGTGTGAGTGGCCTGGAGGCCCAAAAGTGTGGCTGGCATCTGAAGTGGGGGCAGTGTTGTGGAGGACTGAGCCCTTAATTCGTGTGGTCTATGCTAACTCGGGGTGGTTGGTCACAGAATTGAATTTCAGTACACCATTTTGTGTAACAGACTCATGAGATTTGCTAGAATGGCCCAGACTCACTGAAACATGTGTTTTAGGAAGAAAAGGGATGAAAGGGTATTTGAATCCTGACTGGCCACGTGTTGGGCTACATCCCACAGGCCTACAAGGCCTGTGCTCGCCCAGCTTCGAGACCGATGAAGGAGCCCAGAGTCAGTAACAGAGACATCTGTGGTTAAATGGATAGGGAGAACTTACATGTCTGACGCAAGGTCCTGGAGTGACTCCCCACCGTGTGTGGCAGACCATGGGCAGGACATGATGGCAGGCTTGGCTCCCAGGGGCAGGGGGATGTTAGCAGTTATAAAGGGAATTGACTCATTGGTTACCAGGTTGGCTAACTGGTTACCAGGGAAACCAGCAGAGGGGCACATCCCTCACCACCCCTTTAATAAGAACAATCACTAACTGGGGTTGGGGACAATAATGTAAGAAGGTCAGTCGTGTGTAGGGTGTGAGTGGAGCAGACACTGGTCAAGCAGGGGATGTACAGAGAGCAAGAGAACAGCCATGTTGGATGGCCTGACCGTACACCACATGGTCACCCATTGTATGAAGTTACAGCTGCACTGCAATCAGTTACTATAGTTAAAAATTACCAATAGAACTTAGAAATGATGGATCCAACTCCTGGGGAGTTGGCTCACTAGATGTGTAAGAAAATGCTAGCTGTTGATATGAACAAATTCTCTATTCAGTGCCCTGTGTAGAGCATGGATTGAAGGTTATGGCAATAGCCTGTGAGTGCTTCCCAGTGATGAGTACTGGGATTTTGGACCAGATAATTTCCATTTAAGAGGGAATTAAATAATAAACCATACTTAAATTTAAAAAGAGGGACATTGATTGAAATTGCTCCATGACAGACAGACATAAAATAATCTTGAAACCTGAAATACACATAATATCTTGGGTAGTGTCAGAGAAATTTCTAACGCAGAAGACAATGTCCAGAAGAATTCATTAATAAAATGCAAATGGTTTGTGCAGGGATATGTTACTTGGAGAATGCTAAGGGTTACTTAGCATATTCATGAGCAGGTAGACTCTTTGCCACTAGGACTGACTTTGGAACTAACTACCAGAAGCTCTGCCAGATTCTGTTGCCTCTTGGACAGTTCCCTAAGCACCTGATAGGGTGGGCGGAGCCTTCATCCCATCTGGAAGAATTGGGGTTAAAAATGAATGCAGCTGTACCACCAGTGGTAGAAACAGCCCACTAGTTCTGTATCTAGGTAACCATACCCTATGTGAACAGGAGTGGACTGACTGGCAGGCATTTGCTAGAGTAGCATTGCCACCTGCAACCTATACCAGTACAGTGACCAGATGTGATGTCCCTCCCAAAGATGGAAAAGGTTGGGTGTAAATGGAGAGAGGGAGGAACAGCAGCTGAGGGTAAAGGAATGAATACATAAGCTATGCAATAAGGAAATCCAGTATTGTATCAGCTCTTTGAAAGAAGCTCAGAGCAAGAGATAATACTGTCTTTTAGTTCAGTTATGCTAGATACCTGAAAACCATATATTGCTGAGACCACTCCTATTTTTGGAACCTGATGAGATCAAATGGAAGTCTGAAAAACTAGTGGCCTCACTATGGGAGACATTTGGTCATGTGGATTAGGCTAATTATTAATGACTGAGTGAGAGCCTAGTAATGTGCCAACATCTTTTAACTCTTTTCTCAGGTTACATCTAACATATTTCAATATGATCTAACATAGCATGTTGGTAAGATTATAATACTGATATTGATAGTTAAATATACTGGAGAATTGAGTTAAAAGCCTCCTGTCCCTACCCCACATTGGGTTCTCCAAATGTTAGGCACTTTCATGTTGGTACTATTCTTTTATCTGTTGTATAAATGCTACATCAAATGTAAATATGCAGACAGATATGGTCATTTTGTTGTAAGGAAGTTACAGCCATCGATCAGAGTGTGGCCTGTTAGATGATGAATTTGTCTGGTTTTTGTTCCAGATTCCTGGCATGGAGCTTCTAAAATGCTTGGAATTTCCCAAGTGATAAGAGTTCCATTGTTATTCATGAGCCTCCTTGGATAAAACCTGAATTTTTGCTAACAAGATGATTCAAGATGGGGGCTGGGCACCAGAAAGAGCAGGCATCTGATTAGAGGGTTGGACTTTAAGCTACTCTGACCTCTAGGGAGTAGAGTGTGGCTGCAGATTGAGTTCAGTCACGTGTCTGATGATTCAGTCAATCATACTTATATGATGAAACCCCAACAAAAGCTCTGGATGCTGAAGCTCAGTGGAGCTTTCTGGTTGGTGAGTGCATGGATGTACTGGGAGGATAACATGCCCTGATTCCACAGTTAAGGGCACTGAAGCTCTGCATTCAGGACACTCCCAAATCTCGCCCTGTGTGTCTCTTGGCTGGGCCTCCTGATTTGCATCATTTATAATAAAACTACAGTCATAATTATATCAACTTTCCTGAGTTCTATGAGTCATTGTAATCAATTATTATATGTGAAATTGTCATTGGCACCCCCAAATTTATAGTGGGTTAGTCAGAAGTGCAGGTGACCTGGAGACCTCAAAGTGTAATTAGTTTCTTAAGGACTGAGTCATTAATTTGTGAAATCTTGTCCTTAACTCTAGGTGGTTAGTGCCAGAATGGAATTGTTGTACACCAGTTGATGTTAGGATAATAGCTATTTCATTTTATTTAGAGATCCTGTAAATGATACTGTATATTTAGTTTGGTTTCTACATGTTCATGGTTAGTATACAGAAATTTTATTTGTGTTTTTATTTGATCTTGTATTCTGTAACCTTTCTGAAAGCAAATATTTTTTCCAGGCTCTTTTTATCTAGATCACATGAAGTTTTCTACATAAACAATAATTTCATCCACACATAGGGATACACATATTTCCCCTTTTCCATGTATACTTCTGTTATTTCTTTTATCCCTTTGTACTGTGTTGAGTAAGAGTGTGAGAGCAGATATCCTAACCTTATTCCATTTCTTAGGGTGAAAGCGTTCACTATTTCACCCTTAACCTTATGTAATCTGTAGATTTCTTGTGTTCTTTATAATGATGAGGAAATTCTCCACTGTTAATAACTTGCTGAGAGTTGTTATCATTAATGTGTGTTAGATATTGTCAGATGCTTTTTTCTGTGTCAAATGATATGATCATATGGTTTTCTCCTTTACTCTGTTGATAAGGTAGATTACATTGGTTGGTTGTCAAATGTTGAACTGTCCTTATATACCTGAAAGAAATCCCACTTGGTGATAGTGTACTATTGTTTTTACACATTTTGGAATTTGATTTGCTGTTATTGCATTGAGGATTGTTGCATCTAGGATGATGGGCAATATTGTTTTGTATTTTTCTTTTTTTGTATTATCTTTATTTGATTTTGATGTCAGCATAACAGAGACCTTAAAAATGAGTTTGAATGTGTTCTCTCTTCTGTTTTCAAAAGTAGATTGTGTAAAATCAGTGTTAGTTTTTCTTTAAATCCTAGGTAGAATTATGCAGTGAGACCATCTGGATATGGAATTTCTTTCTTGGAGCTCTTAATTATACATTCAGTTTATTTATTGTGACAGAGTTATTCAGATTCTCTTTTTTGTCTTGGTTGAGTTTTGGTAGTTTTTGGTTTTTGAAGAATTGGTCTATTTCTTTTAAGATGCAGAATTTATGATCGTGAATTATTTGCAGTATCCCACTACTGTCCTTTAATGGCTGTAGGATCTGTAGCAATATATCCTACTTAATTCCTGATATTGGTGTTTTGTGTCTGCTCTCTTTTTAATCTTTGTCATTTCTAGAGATTTATTAATTTTACTGATTTTTTAAAAGAACCAGCTTTCTGTTTCTTTGTTTTCTCTATTGTCTTCCTATTTTGATATCTCCTTGTATAAATAGTATTTCCTTCTTTCTGCTTGCTTTGGGTGTATTTTGAGCTTCATTTTCTAGTCGATTGATGTAGGAACTTAGATAATTGATTTAAAAATCTTCTATTTTAATACAAGCATTTAGTGATATAACTTTCCTTCTCAGCAGTCCTTTAGCTTTATCCCACATATTTTGATATATTGTGTTTCATTTTCATTCAGTTCCATTTTTTTATATTTCTTTTAGGCTTCTTTTTTGATCCACGGATTATTTAGAAATCTGTTGATTAATATCCCAGGATTTGGAGATTTCCTCCTTGTTATTGATTGTTAGTTACATTAAATTGTATTTACAGAATGTACTCTGTATTCATTTATTTTTTTGATATTTGTTTTATAGCCTATAATATAATATATCTTGGGGGATGTTTCATGGCTGCCTGAAAAAAATCCATATTCTGCTATTTGGAGTTGAATTGTTCTATAGATTTCAGTTGGGTCATGCCAGTTGATGATATTCAGTTTTTCTATATTTTTACTGATTTTTTAGTAGTTCTACCAGGTGCTGAGAATGATGTTTTGAGTTCTACAGCTATAATTTTGGATTTGTCTGTTTCTAATTTTTTTTTTTTTGCTGCATCAGTTTTTGCCTCTTATATTTTGAGGATCTGTTGTTTGGTATGTACACAATTAAAATCATTATGTCTTCTTTGTGAACTGATCCTTATATCATTATGTAAAGTCCCCCTTTAGTAATTTCTTTGATCTGATGTCTACTTTAGCTGATATTAATGTAGCTACTCTTTTAAAATTAATGATTACAAAATATGTCTTTTCATATTTTTGAAATTTGAATCTATCTGTGTTACTGTATTTAAAGTGAGTTTCTTCTAGAGAGAATATTGTTGGGTCATGACTTTAAACTCAGTTCTGCCAATCTGTCTTATAATTTGTGTATTTAGATCATTTACCTTTAGGGATATGTTGATAGGTTTTCCATCTGCCTTTTATTATTTGCTTTATGTTTTATTTCTTCTGTTTCTCTTTTCTGGCCTTTCTTTGGGTTAGGTGAACATGTTTTAGGATTCCATCTTCATTTACTCATTTTTAGTATATTTCATTTTATTTCTTTTTTGTTGGTTGTTCAATGTATTACAATATACATGCACAACTTATCACTTCACACTGGTATCAGTGTTCTACTGCTTCAGGTGAAGTTTTGAAACCATGCTTTCATTTAGTCTCTTTACCTTCCCTACATTTAAAATATAATTTACTTAATTCTGTCTTCTATGTGCTTTGAGCATCCTATCAAGATAGTGTTATACTGATTGCTACAACCATCAAATATGATTTTTAAAACTCATGATAAAAATAATCCATTCTGTTTACCCATAATTTTACCCATTCTGATGTCCTCCTTTCAGTTCTGAAGTTTGAACCTTGTTCTGTCATTATTTCCTTTCCATTTAGAGGACTTCCTTTAGCCATATTTTAGGGGAAACTTTCTAGAAACAAATTATCTTAATTTACTGTATATTTAAATGTCCCCCCCCCATTCGTAAGACTATTTTTTAATCAGATATAGAATTCACAGTTGGGAGTTATTTTCTTTCAGGATTTAAAATATGTTTCACTTTATTCTGGTCTCCACAGTTTTAGAAATCTGATGTTATTCAAATTGGTATTAGCATATAAGGAATGCATCTTTATTTTCTGATTTGCATACACTTTTACCCCTATGTTTGGGAAGTTTTCAGCCATTTTATCTTTGAATACTTTTTCAGTATCTGCTCTTTTCCTGGGACTCCAAATAAGACAAATGTTAGATTGTTTTTATTGTCCCTCGGGACTCTGATGTTTTGTTAATTTTTTTCAATTATTGTATATCTGTTGTTTAGCTTCACTAAATTATATTGTTCAGTCTTAAGGCCACTAATTCTGTCATCTGTCATGTAGTTAAGTAGATCAACGGGGCAGAAAAGAGAGCCCAGAATTAGTCCCACATAAATATAGTCAACTGACCTTTGACAAAGAGACAAAGACAATTCAGTGGGGAAAGGAGAGTCATTTTAACAAATGGTACTGTAACAACTGGACATCCACACACAAACAATGAATCTTGACACAGTCTTTACACTTTTCACAAAAACTAACTCAAAATGGATCATAGATCTATGTAGGATGCAAAACTATGAAATCCCTAGAAGATCACTTTTTAAAAAGCATCTAGGTGACACTGGGTTTGACAATGAGATTTTACACATATGACAGCAAAAGAAGAATCCATGAAAGAAAGAAAATTGATAGGATTTATTAAAATTGAAGACTTCTGTTCTGCAAAAGACACTGTTAAGAGAATGAAAGACAATATTTTCACAAGAAAATATTTGCAAAACATATATCTGATAAAGGACTGGTAGACAATACAGGCAAGCAACTCTTAAAATTCAACAATAAGAAAATAAATATCCCAGAAAAGACTTGTGACTTGGGAAAGAACAGGGGATGAGTTCTGGCCCAGCCAGCCTGGCTTATCCGGGTCCCTCTCCCTCTTCCTCTCCAGGCCAGTTTTCTAATTCCCAATTCTCTCCTCCTCTTTCTCCTTTTCCCCTTTTGGTGCTCCGACCTGGAGTCTTGAGAACCAGCCTCTGGTCCTCTAGATATATTGCCACCACACTGCAGGGCCTTTGGTAAGTGCCACACTAAGCATTTACTGCAATCAGTTGCAGGGGAGTTCTATAAAGTAACAAAGCTCTTACACTCCAGACTTTGGAAGGTATTATTGGAATGCTTAACTGTAACCACAGAGTTCATACATCTTTAAGGGCTGAGCTCACAAAAGTCACAGTTTTCATACAATAGTTTATGTAAATGGAGTCCACTGTGTTCAGGCACCTGGCTTAGTTTCTCTGACAGGTGTGATGCCTAAAAGAATTACTGGCTTGATGATGATCTTTCTGTATCCGGCAAGATAGACCCCCACAGTATCAACACTGGAGTATCTCCAGCCTGTGGGAGCCTTTTTTCCAGTGCTTAATGCACACTTGACCTTCTTTGAGGATGGGTTTACAGATTTTGGACCAGAAATGTCTAGCACAACACAACCCTGTGGCACAGTCTGATGATCAGAGACAGACAGAACCTTCTTGTCCTAAGAAGGAGGAGACAATAGGAAAAGTACATGGTCACTGCTAAGCCTGCGTTATTTCATTAAGGTAATCCGAAAGACACTTCTGATGTTTTAACAAAAAGGAATGAGTCTTTTTTAAATTATTGAAGTATAGTCAGTTTACAGTGCTGTGTCAATTTCTGGTGTAGAGCATAATGTTTCAGTCATACATATATATATATATACATATATTCCTTTTCATATTCTTTTTTTAAACATTTTTTATTGATTTATAATCATTTTACAATGTCTCAAATTCCAGTGTTCAGCACAATTTTTCAGTTATACATGAACATATATATATTCATTGTCACATTTTTTTCTCTGTGAGCTACCATAAGATCTTGTGTATATTTCCCTGTGCTATACAGTATAGTCTTGTTTATCTATTTCTTTTTCATAT